CTCACCCACAAAACCTCCTTTACCCCCTCTTTCCAACCCTTTCGAGGACAACCCCTACCCCTCTTTCCTTCCCCTATAGATTTACATGCTTTCCATGTCATTCTACTTTGATCCATTCTCTCTAAATGACCAAACCACCTCAACAACCCCTCTTCTGCCCTCTGACTAATGCTTTTATTAACTCCACACCTTCTCCTAATTTCCACACTCCGAATTTTCTGCATAATATTTACACCACACATTGCCCTTAGACAGGACATCTCCACTGCCTCCAACCGTCTCCTCGCTGCTGCATTTACCACCCAAGCTTCACATCCATATAAGAGTGTTGGTACTACTATACTTTCATACATTCCCTCTTTGCCTCCATAGATAACGTTTTTTGACTCCACATATACCTCAACGCACCACTCACCTTTTTTCCCTCATCAATTCTATGATTAACCTCATCCTTCATAAATCCATCCGCCGACACGTCAACTCCCAAGTATCTGAAAACATTCATTCTTCCATACTCCTCCTCCCCAATTTGATATCCAATTTTCTTTATCTAAATCATTTGATACCCTCATCACCTTACTCTTTTCTATGTTCACTTTCAACTTTCTACCTTTACACACATTCTCAAACTCATCCACTAACCTTTGCAATTTTTCTTTAGAATCTCCCATAAGCACAGTATCATCAGCAAAAAATAACTGTGTCAATTCCCATTTTGAATTTGATTCCCCATAATTTAATCCCACCCCTCTCCCAAACACCCTAGCATTTACTTCTTTTACAACCCCATCTATAAATATATTAAACAACCATGGTGACATTACACATCCCTGTCTAAGACCTACTTTTACCGGGAAGTATTCTCCCTCTCTTCTACACACCCTAACCTGAGCCTCACTATCCTCATATAAGCTCTTTACAGCATTTAGTAACTTACCACCTATTCCATATACTTGCAACATCTGCCACATTGCTCCTCTATCCACTCTATCATATGCCTTTTCTAAATCCATAAATGCAATAAAAACTTCCCTACCTTTATCTAAATACTGTTCACATATATGCTTCAATGTAAACACTTGATCTACACATCCCCTACCCACTCTGAAGTCTCCTTGCTCATCCACAATTCTACATTCTGTCTTACCTCTAATTCTTTCAATTATAACCCTACCGTATACTTTTCCTGGTATACTCAGTAAACTTATTCCTCTATAATTTTTACAATCTCTTTTGTCCCCTTTCCCTTTATATAAAGGGACTATACATGCTCTCTGCCAATCCCTAGGTACCTTCCCCTCTTTCATACATTTATTAAACAAAAGTACCAACCACTCCAACACTATATCCCCCCCTGCTTTTAACATTTCTGTCATGATCCCGTCAGTTCCAGCTGCTTTACCCCCTTTCATTCTATGTAATGCCTCACATACCTCCACCACACTTACATTCTGCTCTTCTTCACTCTAAAAGATGGTATACCTCCCTGGCCAGTGCATGAAATTACCGCCTCCCTTTCTTCCTCAACATTTAAAAGTTCCTAATAATACCTCCCTTTCCCCATCTACTAATTCCCCTACTCTGTTTTTAACTGACAAATCCATACTTTCCCTAGGCTTTCTTAACTTGTTAACTCACTCCAAAATTTTTTCTTATTTTCATTAAAATTTCTTGACAGTGCCTCTCCCACTCTTTCATCTGCTCTCCTTTTGCACTCTCTCACCACTCTCTTCACCTTTCTTTTATTCTCCATATACTATGCTCTTCTTATAACACTTCTGCTTTGTAAAAACCTCTCGTAAGCTACCTTTTTCTCTTTTATCACACCCTTTACTTCATCATTCCACCAATCACTCCTCTTTCCTCAAGGAGGATGAATTAGTAAAATATTCGTAGTCCCAAATCACTAACCTAATCTATGGTAAAAGTTCTGTATATGACTCCTTTCTGGTAACGTTTTGAATTTTTAGATGCGCAGCCAGAGGAAAGGGAGCTACAAGGGCCATATCCCCCCAATTGACAGAAAAAAATTTAATAATAATTAAAAAATTAATAATAATTGATAATGAAAAATTTGTATTTGCATGATTACAGACCGATACATCCTCATTATGGCATCTCATGAACGTGATGTTGGACGTTCTTATGCGAGTGGGTCACAGAAAAGAAAGAAGAAAATTCAAGAAGAACAGAAAAAGAAAGATGTAGGAAGCTGCAGAAAGATCACAGACATGCTCACGAAAACAGGGTAAATATAATGGATTGCAAGCCCGTATCAAGCAAATCAACCCACTTGCTGAATATGTGCCCTGCTCAGCACATTCTCTTAATCTTGTTGGGTCATGTGATGCGGAGTGTTGTGTCACTGCAGTTTCATTTTTTGGACTTTTACAAGCACTCTTTATTTTTTTCTCTGCTTCAACACATCGGTGGAGTATACTCAAGTCAACCATTCATGGCGATGTCATCAAATCATTATCAACAAGAAGGTGGTCAGCACAGCATGATGCAACGCATGCTTTGAAAGACAGCTTTGCTGAAATATGTTCTGCTTTGATCCAAATAGCAGAGGATGAAGACCAGACAGCAACTACAAGAAGCGAAGCAGCCAGCTTAGCATCAAAATTGGAAGATTTTGAATTGGCCTTACTCTGTGTGCTTTGGGACTGTATACTGGAACGGTTAAATGCCACGAACAAGACACTTCAGAAAACTGAAACTGAAATGGCTACTTGTGCTAACCTCTATGCAGGCTTAGTGGAATTTGTAAGCTCACTTCGCAATGATGAAGCTTTTGAAATGTTTGAAAAGAAAGCTAACCTGCTGGTGAAAGACTACAGTTACCGGGCTGATCATCAGCGATCAAGGAAGAGGAAACGCAATTTTGAAGAGCTAGACAATGAAATTGTGTTGCTACCAAGGCAGAAATGTAAGACAGCTACATACTTCGTCATTCTGGATTCACTGATTACAGAATTGGTGAAAAGAAAAGAAATCTACCAGAATCTCAATGACAAGTTTGGATTTCTGTTCAAAATTACTACTATGCCAGATGCAGAATTGAGAGAAGCTGCATTAAAGTTGCAACAACACACCTTTCAGCAGATGTTCAGGACACATTTGTTGAAGAAATAGTTCATTTTTCTGGGTATATGAATCAGATTAAAGCTCCACCTGAAAAATGTGCACCCTCAGCTGCTTTGAAACATTTAAGAAATGCAGATATCTCAGAAACCTTCCCTAATGTTGACATAGTGTATCGCCTTTACCTAACACTTCCAGCTACTAACTGTGAAGGAGAACGTTCATTTCTGTTTTGAAAAGAGTGAAAAACCAGCTCCGTTCAACAATGAGCCAAGACAAATTGTGTAACCTAGCCTTGTTGACCATTGAGTCTGATCTAACAAGAAATATTGATTTTCAGAATATAATTGATGATTTTGCCAATATGAAATCCAGAAAAAAGTTTATTTAAGAAGTGCCTGTGAATATAAACAATTCTTTACTTTCTTGAGTTTATATGATTTGATAGTCTTATGCATGATGCAATGATAACAATAATGGTCAGTGATTTATAAAGGGAATAATAGTGCTGTAGTGGTTATGCTGAATATAATAGGTACATGATGTCACTACTTTAAGTATGATGTCACTACTTTAATAGCCTAATCTAGTAATAATATGCTGTCTTGAGTTTATTCTCTTTAAAATGCATGATTTAACAAGATAGTTATAATGGCTGTTGGTAAATGGTTTTGGTTGTCTTGATGTACTTTCCCTATCAAATTTAATCTAAATAGCCAGAATGTATTTAATTAGACCTTAAACAGGCTCACACCGACCCCTCCACCCCCCAAGCTGGAAGGGGTTGCTTTGCTTACCCGTAACTCAAAGGGGCCCCGCCAATCTGAATAGCCTAGGGCCTGGAGACTTCTTAATCTGGCCCTGTGTGTGAGTGAGGTGAAAGTGTTGAATGATGATGAAAGTATTTTCTTTTTGGGGATTTTCTTTCTTTTTGGGTCACCCTGCCTCGGTGGGAGATGGTCGACTTGTTGAAAAAAAAAAAAATTAATTTGGATGCTGAGAGCAGTTTTAATTTTTGGGCTTTGGACAGTGAAGGGGTCAAAAGAAAAAAGAATGTGTGTGAAATTCTGTTTCAAGTTTGGTGATAGTGACATTCACAAAATGCTTCATCAAGCATTTGGAGATGAAGCTATGGGTCAGACACAGTTTTTTAATGATTCAAAGAAGGACAAACATCACTGAAAAAGTGAGGAAGGGTATTCACGAAGATCATCGTTAGAGTATCCAGGACACTGCAAGTGCTGTGAGAATTTTTTATGGATTATGGCAAAGCATTTTGACTGAAAATTTGAATATGAAGTGAGTAGTTGCAAAATTTATGCCCTGCTTACTTACTCAAGACCAGAAAACCATCCTTTTCTGGCCAAAAACATAGTGGCCATCCCTCACCATCCCTACCTCTCAGATCTAGGCCCATCCCCCCATAACTTCCCAAAAGTAATAATGTCATTCAAGGGGCAACATTTTAACTTTGTGGAGATTCAAGCAGAATCACAGGCTGTGCTAGATGCTGTCAGGAAAGAAGAATTCCATAAATATTTTGTGAAATGGCAGAGGCACTGGGATTAGTGAATAGCCTTCCAAGTTTTTTTTTTCAAGGGAGACAACTTCAACTAGGTGATTAGGTAAGCCTACATATTTTTTTCTCAGCAGTCCAGGAACTTTTAGATAGCACCTTATAAATAACTAAAAAGAAAATGAAGAATAATTTGCCACACAAAAAAACGAAATTTCCTGATTTCTCATGAGCTATAGGCACCCTAAAACCAAACATCATTACATATTATGCACCATACTTGTTGCTAGGACACATTCCTTGTGCTTCGACTGTTAAGTATAAATCTGTTACACACATTTTATAAAGCCTCTAAAACCAAATACTATAAAACTAGGAATATAATAATTTGACAACATACTTGTCCTGCTGGAGAGAGAAATATTTTCGCTGATGACCCCATGTGCTGTGGTATAAATCTGAAAGTTGTAGAGCTCTCCAGGAATCAGCTCACCAATCAGCACTGTTAATTTGCGATTTATGCCTTCTGTTGCTTGGTCACCGGGTATTTCTTTTGATTTCTGTTGGTATATAAATATCAAAACATTAATTGCAGCATTTCCAAAAAACATATATTCATAATTATACATCTGAAGCAAGTTTAGGCAGTAGTTAATGTTTAATTAACAATTACAAAAGTGCAACAGATGTCAGCAGTGCAGCAAAACTTGAATTTTCAATGTAAATTTTAGACTGTGGCTCTAGTGATCCTGGTAGTCAATGGGTCTTCAAACTTTATACCTTACTTAGTCACTTAATAAGCAGTAACTAGGTATGGTAGTATGTTTGATATTTGTATTAAACCTATTCAGATACATCTCTACATGTTACAGGACTAATAGACTAATAGGGAAGAGAGGGTGGCTAGTAATGGTAAGTGTGGGTGAGCAGAGATAAGACTGTTTTGCCCTGATCATAACAATAATGGCCAATTCTATAACCCATGGACTTTATCCATTGCTTCCAAATCAACTGACCCAGCAGATTTTGTCCCATATTTCTGAAGTAGGAGCCAAGGCCGGGTCACCACTATTTGGAAAAGACCTGGGCCGGGAGAATACCGGCGAAAAAAAAAAAAAAAAATAGGTCAAATTGAGGTCCTCTAAGTCAAGGGGTAACTGTATCATTTTCATCTGTCAGTGAGTGTCAAGAATTTATATACACATCCATTGCTAGAAATTACTGCCCTTGCCACTAGAGGCCCTTTAGTTATTATATTTAATCAATGATTAGCCTGAACTGGGAGACTTCAGTAGGGCAATGAAGATACTGTCAAGTATTCCATAAAATTAAGGCTTAATCAGCTACAGCAGTTTCAGAGGTTTCCTTTCAGCAGATCTGGATTTGTCATTACTTGGTAATTACAATCTATCAGTACTGGTACTGTCATAGTGGCACAGCTATTACAAATAACAAGATTACTGGTGGTACAAGAAGTGGATTCACTTATTAACTCATGTAGTTCATTCATCTTTTCACCACCACTGTTTCCTGTGTCATGAATCATTCTTACCATTTACATATCCCACTTCAAGATTTCCAAAAATTCATATTTTTCACTTTTTACAGAAATCAACCAGAAACTTTTTATATTACTTAATTACTAATAAAAATCTGACAAAAAAAAGAAAGCAAAGGTAAGTTTTTTGGTAAATTAAATTATAGTGTTACTGTACCTTTCTCTCTGGTTTATGTTCATTCCACCACACAATGGTATACATGTCAATCCTGCCCTCAGGTCTGGGCCATTCAAAAGTAATATTCTGTGAGTCAAGATGATGCTCGATTCCCCTCACAGGATTGGGAGCTGCAAAGTAAAACTATTTAAAATAATTTGCTAAAACTTTCTCTTTCAACAAATAAATTCCTGTTGGCTGTATTCAGTTAGAGGCACTCTAGTACAGAATGTTAAGGATTCTTTTCAAATCATTTAAAACTGTAAAGTTTTATATCTTCTTCTTTCAACACACTGGCTGTATCCCACCGAGGCAGGGTGGCCCAAAAAGAAAAACAAAAATTTCTCTTTTCAACTTTAGTAATGTATACAGGAGAAGGGGTTACTAGCCCTTTGCTCCTGGCATTTTAGTTGCCTCTTACGACACACATAGCTTACGGAGGAAATAAACAAGAACAAGAACTAGTAAGAAAATAGAAGAAAACCCAGAGGGGTGTATATAAATATATGCTTGTACATGCATGTGTAGTGTGACCTAAGTGTAAGTAGAAGCAGCAAGACATACCTGAAATCTTGCATGTTTATGAGACAGAAAAGAGACACCAACTATCCTACCATCAAGTAAAATAATTACGTACAGGCTTTCGTTTTTCACTCGCTTGGTAGGATGGCAGTACCTCCCTGGCGGCTGCTGTCTACCAAACTACTACCTATAAAAGTTTTATATATGCACCTAAAATATACAAGGCAGAATATTATCAGAATGCTGGATTTGGACAAGTTTTACACAAGATGGAAAATTTCTCTTTTTGTTACTCTTGCAATTGTAATTCTTGGATTACAGAAAGAGCTCTATGTGTTTGTATATACATTTCTAAAGAACTTTCCATGGTTAATTTATTCTCTTGTAACACTTGAACAATGTAAATTTCGTGTCTGTTTCCCAGGAATAATTTTTTTTTTTTCAACAAGTCGGCCGTCTCCCACCGAGGCAGGGTGACCCAAAAAGAAAGAAAATCCCCAAAAAGAAAATACTTTCATCATCATTCAACACTTTCATCTCACTCACACATAATCACTGTAATATATGTAATAATTCCTTTCTAGGATGTAGCAATAAGCATTTTTATCTTTCAATACTTACGAACAGTCTGTTCAACTTCTTGGGGTGTAAAGCTTTCTACATGATGTGAGACAGAGCGGACCTGGATTACGTAACGTTCACCTGGTTGCAAGTTGTCAACTACAGCCAAAGTTTTGTTGATCGCTGGCAGATCAGTCCAAACAGATGTCTCAACAGTTCGATACCTGAGGATTATGTGGTAACATAAGTACATGATAGTTTTTAAGTGAAGAGTATGTAATGATTTTTTTAATTCATAATGCCTTATCAGAAGTAAGAAATGTGCAGTTTTTTTTTTTTTTTTTTTTTAACAAGTCAGCTGTCTCCCACTGAGGCAGGGTGACCCAAAAAGAAAGAAAATCCCCAAAAAGAAAATACTTTCATCATCATTCAACTCTTTCACCTCACTTACACATAATCACTGTTTTTGCAGAGGTGCTCAGAACACAACAGCTCAGAAGCATAAACATATAAAGATACACAACATATCCCTCTAAACTGCCAACACTATCCCGAACCCCTCCTTTAGAGTGCAGACATTGTACTTCCCATTTCCAGGACTCAAGTCTGGCTATATAAAAATAACAAGTTTCCCTGAATCCCTTCACTAAATATTACCCTGCTCACACTCCAACAGATCGTCAGGTCCCAAATACCATTCGTGTCCATTCACTCCTATCGAACACGCTCACGCACGCCTGCTGGAAGTCCAAGCCCCTCGCCCACAAAACCTCCCTTACCCCTTCTTTCCAACCTTTTTGAGGACGACCCCTACCCCGCCTTCCTTCCCCTACAGATTTAAATACTCTCCATGTCATTCTACTTTGATCCATTCTCTCTAAATGACCAAACCACCTCAATAACCCCTCTTCAGCCCTCTGACTAATACTTTTATTAACTCCACACCTTCTCCTAATTTCCACACTCAGAATTTTCTGCATAATATTTACACCACACATTGCCCTTAGAGAGGACATCACTGCCTCCAACCACCTCCTCGCTGCTGCATTCACAACCCAAGCTTCACACCCATATAAGAGTGTTGGTACTACTATACTTTCATACATTCCCTTCTTTGCCTCCATAGATAATGTTTTTTGTCTCCACATATACCTCAATGCACCACTCACCTTTTTTCCCTCATCAATTCTATGATTAACCTCACCCTTCATAAATCCATCCGTCGACACGTCAACTCCCAAGAATCTGAAAACATTCACTTCTTCCATACTCCTCCTCCCCAATTTGATATCCAATTTTTCTTTATCTAAATCATTTGATACCCTCATCACCTTACTTTTTTCTATGTTCACTTTCAACTTTCTACCTTTACACACACTCCCAAACTCGTCCACTGAACTTTGCAATTTTTATTTAGAATCTCCCATAAGCACAGTATCATCAGCAAAAAGCAACTGTGTCAATTCTCATTTTGTATTTGATTCCCCATAATTTAATCCCACCCCTCTCCCGAACACCCTAGCATTTACTTCTTTTACAACCCCATCTATAAATATATTAAACAACCATGGTGACATTACACATCCCTGTCTAAGATCTACTTTTACCAGGAAGTAGTCTCCCTCTCTTCTACACACCCTAACCTGAGCCTCACTATCCTCATAAAAACTCTTTACAGCATTTAGTAACTTACCACCTATTCCAAAATACTTGCAACATCTGCCACATTGCTCCCCTATCCACTCTATCATATGCCTTTTCTAAATCCATAAATGCAATGAAAACTTCCTTACCTTTATCTAAATACTGTTCACATATATGCTTCAATGTAAACACTTGATCTACACATCCCCTACCTATTCTAAAACCTCCTTGCTCATCCGCAATCCTACATTCTGTCTTACCTCTAATTCTTTCAATTATCACCCTACTGTACACTTTTCCTGGTATACTCAATAAACTTATTCTTCTATAATTTTTACAATCTATTTTGTCCCCCTTCTCTTTATATAAAGGGACTATACATGCTCTCTGCCAATCTCTAGGTACCTTCCCCTCTTTCATACATTTATTAAACAAAAATACCAACCACTCCAACAATATATTCCCCCCTGCTTTTAACATTTCTGTCATGATCCCGTCAGTTCCAGCTGTTTTACCCCCTTTCATTCTATGTAATGCCTCACACACCTCCCCCACACTCATATCCTGTTCTTCTTCACTCCTAAAAGATGGTATACAGTGGACCCCCGGTTCGCGATGCTATTGGTATCTGATAAATTCGGTAACCGATGCATTATATCGCAGAAAATTTGCCTCGGTTCCCATTACAAAACCCGGTATGCAATACAATTCATACGAGTTTTTACAATCCAGCCAGTGTGCGCACATCTAAGGATACATTCGGTACATTCTATATTATCCATATTATCACTGTTGTTGGTGCTTTTTTCTGCAAAATAAGTCACCATGGGCCCCAAGAGAGCTTCTAGTGCCAACCCATCGAGACCAAGGGTGCTAATGACTATTGAAATTAAGGAAATGTGTGCAAAGTTGCTTGAAGTGCAAACCTTTTTTGATGAAAATCACCCTGACATAGCTACTTCAAGCCGTGTTGGCAACCTGTACACTGACAATGTTGTGAACCACTTTAGGAAAGTCATAAAGGAACGAGAGGTACAGGCCTCTATGGACAGATATGTTGTGTAACAGAAGTCCAGTGACTCTCAAGCTGGTCCTAGTGGCATTAAAAGAAGAAGGGAAGTAACCCCGGAAAAGGACTTGCTACCTCAAGTCCTAATGGAGGGGGATTCCCCTTCTAAACATTAAAAACTTCGACACTCTCCCCTCCTCCCATCCCATCAATCATCAGCAGATCTTCATTAAAGGTAAGTGTCAATTATTCTATTGTTATTGTAATTATTATATTGCATTAAACTTAATATATCATGTGGTAAAAAAATTTTTTTCATACTTTTGGGTGTCTTGCACGGATTAATTTGATTTCCATTATTTCTTACGGGGAAAATTGATTCGCTTTCCAATAATTTTGGTTTACGATGAGCTCTCAGGAACAGATTAATATCATGAACCGGGGGTCCACTGTACCTCCTTGTCCAGTGCATGAAATCACCGCCTCCCTTTCTTCGTTGACATTTAAAAGTTCCTCAAAATATTCTCGCCATCTACCCAAAACCTCCCTCTCCCCATCTACTAACTCCCCTACTCTATTTTTAACTGAGAAATCCATTTGTTCCCTAGGCTTTCTTAATTTGTTTAACTCATTCCAAAATTTTTTCTTATTTTCATTAAAATTTCTTGACAGTGCCTCTCCCATTCTATCATCTGCTCTCCTTTTGCACTCTCTCATCATTCTCTTCACCTTTTTTTTACTCTCCATATACAGTGGACCCCCACTTAACGATCACCTCCCAATGCGACCAATTATGTAAGTGTATTTATGTAAGTGCATTTGTACGTGTATGTTTAGGGGTCTGAAATGGACTAATCTACTTCACAATATTCCTTATGGAAACAAATTCAGTCAGTACTGGCACCTGAACGTACTTCTGAAATGAAAAAATATCATTAACCGGGGGTCCACTGTACTCTACTCTTCTTATAACACTTCTGCTTTGTAAAAACCTCTCATAAGCTAACTTTTTCTCTTTTATCACAACCTTTACTTCATCATTCCACCAATCACTCCTCTTTCCTCTTGCAACCACCCTCCTATAACCACAAACTTCTGCCCCACATTCTAATACTGATCCCTGTGAAGGCTCTCATTCTCAAATACATATGAGATTGAGCCACAATTTGCATGTAGAGGATCAAGCATCTTCCACTGATTATCTACATTAGCAAGTAAGAGTGTGTGGAAAGATTGCCACAGTAATTCATCCAAAACATTAAAAGCTCACTCAGAAGAGATAATTTGATTAATGCTACAAAAAGCATTCTTTTACTAATATAAAATTTTTGTTTATATCTACTGGTTAACTTACCTCCTGGTCCATTTTCTCATTTACTGCTTTGATAATTAATACCAGATGCTTCACCTATTCTATGGTACTAGGGAGAGATTTCCTGACTATGTACCATCAACTCTTCACGAAGACCTTCAGTAGTTTTTTTTTAAAACAAGTCGCAAAAGAAATTATCAATGAACTCTTGAGGTACAGTAACTTCTGCTATATGTATGATGCTCATTCTACACAGGAGAAATTATCAATAAATTCTTGCAGTACAGTAACTTCTGATATATGGTATGATGCTCATTCTACCTGGTATTAAAGATTATTTTCTGAGTTTTCCTCATTTACTTGCATTACACGTAAAGGTGATACACTATGCAAATAAACTCCTGAAAATGAAATGTGATTCTTTTCTTTACACTGCCTTAAAAGTTTTAATATTTTATCTTCAGATCTAACAAACATTACTAATGCAGACATAAGCAGTAATTGGTAAAATGACACAACATGCAAAGAAAACATTTATTTATATATATTTTTTTTTTCAACAAGTCAGCTGTCTCCCACTTAGGCATGGTGACCCAAAAAGAAAGAAAATCCCCAAAACAAAAATACTTTCATCATCATTCAACATTTTCACCTCACTCATACATAATCACTGTTCTGCAGAGGTGCCCAGATACAACAGTTTAGAAGCATATATAAAGATACACTATAAAAATAACCTGAAATAATTACAATAGCAGGGCCCCAATTATATATATACTGTCCTATTACACATCCCACCAAACTCCAATATTCCAAACCCCTCCTTTAAAGTGCAGGCATTGTATGTAATACATTTTGTCCTGAGTAGAGTCAAGTGAAACATACTGTATAAATACACGTTTCCTCTACCATATTTGTCAGCAAATTTTGCCATCTAACACTACCATTAATTATAATACAGTAGTATATGCAAAGTCTATTTTCCATTCATTCATTCCATTCCATTCCATTACTTATAGTCTCCATTATCTTGTTTATTTCCATGGTCTTCATGATCCAACAAGATTAACAGCTTATTATCAACAGATTTTATAATAAAGGAATACAGGTGGGCCCCACTTTACAGCGCTTCACTTTACAACATTTTGCTAATGCAGCCATTTTCAATTATACCCATTTTTCATGTATTCAGACTTCCCACAATAAATATATTCACCACTCACTATAAGCTGACGATGAAAATATTTTAAAGTAATGTG